ACAATTAACATGTTCATGTAAAGGTTAACATATCTCTTGGAAAATTAACCTATTAGATGAAGAGTTAACGTTTAACCATCAGAGATGACAACTATTTTTTCCCAAGTTAGCATCGAAACCTGAAATCACAATTGGCTTATCATCACACATAGACCTGTTCCTGACAGAGTTCATTGTTTACTTACAAATCAATAATAACTTACATTGAGGGATTTAATGCCCATAAGGGATGGTTGAAAGTTGAAGAAAAAAATAACAATATTTACATCACACAAAACCCAATGTTATAAAGAGTTCATTAATTACTTACATTTCCCTAATCTGATTTTTCCTTGAAGTGGAACACTCTACATTAACAGCAGCTTGCATGTGAATCTCCGTACAACCAATATTTCGATTGTGCTCCAACATGCACTTCAAATCATCATCGTTGTCAACTGAAAAACTGAGGTTGGGGTGCCTCTCAGATTTAAATATAAAGGATAAAGCTTCTTTAGGTACTTTCAATCTTTCAGACACATCAAATTGGAGTTCATCAAAGCTTGTTGTCGAACTTAGCTTCACGAATATGGCATTCTCGCCTAAAGACACCATGCAAATCAAGTCATTGACGGCCATTAGGGGTGGTTGAAAGTTATGAGGACAGTTATGAAGGCAATTATGAGGAGTTGAGGAGTAATTGAGGGGATTTCAGGTGCAAAATGGTTGTTGACAGTTGAAGAAAAAAACCCTAATTTCATTAATGAGAGAGTGAGAGATAAAACTAACCAATTTATAACAAAGGATGAGAAGCAAACCTTAAAATGGTGGGAGCCCGCGCTTTTCCCCCGCTTTCCCCCGTCGCTTCGCCATAAATGCGTTGGACGAGAGATCAGGGAAGAAGAGAACCCATTCAGCCGGTTTCCAGTGAGAGGGATGCGGGCATTTTAGGGAGGTAGCAACAAAATACAACCACTAAATGTATACGTATGGGCTTTTGGGTCTGGGCCACAATTTTCACATTTTTTGGGCGCTGAAGGCTAAGGCAGATAATTGGTGGGGCTGGGCCACATCCAATTTTTTTTTTGGGGGCCTTGAAACATTTTTCCCTAAATAATATGATATTAAAATAAAATAAAGGAAATTGCACCTAGTCCATATCAACATCACAAAATCAATGTTTTCTTACATTGCAAGCTACATTGCCATCTGTCTAACTGATACCGCACATTTTTCCGAGCCAAAGTAGACTATCAATTGCCGATGACAATGTCCGACCCGTCATCGTATTCTTCATCGACGGGCAGCAGAAGAGGGTGGGCAGTCAATGGGCGCTGCCCTTGGGCACGGTGATCACGCTCGATGGCAGCCAGGACCCATGCATGCTATCGCCGGTCTCTGATGGCTCAGGAAGCCACGGTCACCGTCAGTCTTTGACGGTTCAGGAAGTCATGGCTCAGAGTGGTCGGAGTAATCCCGGTTCGAGGGTACGTCCCTCGTCCAAATCCTCGGCAAGCCCACGAATCAAAGTACTTCAATGTGGTTTCTTTACTTAAAAGCACGTGGGTATTCAACAAAGACGCCTACTAAGGATGGCGATCGTCGACCAAAATTTGAAATCCACCCCAGCTAGCAAGCAATGGGAAGCTGAGAGAGAAAGGGAAGAGATTTAAATATAGCGGTGGAGAGAGAGGACAGATGGATGTACAATATGTTATTTTAATGTATAGTTGGGGTTAGTGAGAGGTTATTATTGAATTTAGTGGGGAATTTAATGAGGCCGAGAGTGTATATGTGTTGGCACGTGTCGGCCGTGGGACTCACCGAATGTAACGAGCTATTTGGTTCAAACCACTGTTAAAATCGATTAGCCGATGTTACATTTGAGTCTTTAGCTTCACTTTTGAATATCTTATTCCTTCACCGATGTGCGACTATAACTTTGGATCAGTGGTGGGATGTCAACAGTATAGGCGCGGAATAGCTGGTAAGTGGTAACATATTGGCATTTTCTTTACAAAATACGAATAAATAAGGATATGTGTTACGCTAATAAGTAGTGGGGGCTGATCCAATTCCATAGTAATTTACTTAATTGACAGTGGGTTTGCCTGCATTTACTTAGCCCGTCAAGATTAGCAGACTTAAATGCTAATTGATAGTGTTTTGTCCGCATTTACTTCGCCCATTAGATTAAAAAATGATCATAAGATATGGATATAAAATTTATTACTATCTAAAATTTAGTACAAAATAGATGTATCTAATTATACTATATAATAGTTGTACTATAGTTTATAAAACATATCTAACTAAAGTAAATAATAGTTATACTATAACCTGAAGCCTTTAATTAATGTGATACAATGAGATTGGGGGTTAGGAGAAGAATTTCAAGGGGAGGATATATCTTATGTTTGTACGCATGCGTTTGATTTGAAGATGTATAGTTTATGTATGTACATAATACATATACATCTTTTATGTATCCATCTACGTGTTTTATTTTTTATTTTTTTGAATGAAAATAGGGCATACTGCCCTATCATGTATATATAAACCAAAAAAGAGTGTTTACAAAAGATATCTGATTGTGATTAGGCCCGAGCCTCCGAGTTGGAGGGTATAAGGCCAAATCACCAAAAGATGTCTCTTACATAAGATGAGACCAAACAACTAGCGGGCACCAAAAAAACAACAAAATGGGGAGCCATGCTGCATCATGACCCTGGAAGCTGAGACTAGAAAACCAAAAATAAAAACTGGTATGTAAAGAACTGCAACAAGGAAGCCACTACCCATGGGGACTTGGAAGGCCATTGCTGTCAGCACTTGATTCTGCTATGTCAGGAAGCCCCGAGCTGAAAATGAGCTTGTTCAACTTGCTGGCAGTCTTGGATGAGGAAGCACCTGTCCAGAAAAGAAGAAAGTAAACCGCCTTGTTGATGATATGCTGTGGCGTGGAGGACTGATTAGAGAAGATGAAGTCATTTCTAGCTTTCCAAATAACCCAGCAAACCGTAGGAAAACTGCAGCCCCAGAGGAGTCTAATGGATTTGTGGATGGATATGTCAGAACAGATAGAGAGGCAATGGTTGATGCTTGTGGGGATGGAGACAATACCAATTTTAGAGAGCCATGGATCCCAGACTTGCTTTGTGAAATTGCATGAGAGGAAAAGGTGGTCGTGGGACTCGTGGTCATCACAGAAGGGGCAGATTGTGTCTGCAAGCCAACCTTGAGCTGATAACCTGTCTTTAGTTTTCAATCTGTTAAGACTGAGAAGCCAAGAGAACAACTGAACTTTGCTAGGCAGAAGCTTATTCCATACGACAACATTATATGGGAAACGGTGACCTCTATCCATGATGAATCTGTACATGGATCTGACAGTGAAAGACTTGGAGGCTGAAAGTTGCCACGAATGTTTGTCAGCAGATGAGGATGGGGCAATGTGGAAGTCATGAAGGAGAAGGATGAGAGCTTGGACTTGGCTTCTGTCGATATCGGATGTTGGACGTCTGAGGATTGGTCTCCACTGCCATCTACGTGTTTTATAGATGCATGTATTTGTTTTGGAAGAAATTTTTGAAAGAAAATGTTTTAATATCCAATATACTTTTATAATAGTATAAGAGAAAATAATATAATATAATATGCAAATAGGTACGATAATATAATCGGTCTTTTATCTTCTCATAATCTTATCCCACAAAATTTAGAATATGATTTTTTTTGTTAACTTTCAATATTATAATTATGCTCTACGCATAGTATGATCTCGCGACTATGCTACTTTTATAGTATGAAGAGTAAAAAAATTCATTTGAGCTATAATTACATGTACTATAAGAACTATAATACATGAGGTTTGTTGTTCCATGAACTTGGAAGGCATACGCAGAATTTCATTGTGACAAGCCGATCATATATCATTATCTTTCATCTAAATTTTTTTCATCGAAGTAAACCTTTTAGTTTTTCTTAATCTTTCTTCCTATAAAAAAATGTAATGCTAGATTATTGTAATTTTGCATGAGAAAAAGAGCACATATAAATTTTAATTTTATCTGAAAAGGTAAAAAAAAACTCGTGGAAAAAAGACGTTTGTGCTCTTGCATGCTATATAACCACCATTCTTGTCCCTCTCTTTAGATGGCTAAATTATCAGGAAAACCGCGTTAACTTTGGACGATTATCGGATAAAACATCATAACTTTAGAAATATAATTAAAAACACCTTAAATTTGGAGGTTATCAGTAAACCCTCTTTAACTTGATATTTTATCAGAACCCTCTTTGTTTTTTAAGGTTTTTTTTTAATAAATCTCAAAGTTAAAGAGGGTTATCTAATAAAATCTTAATGTTGGGGTGTTGGTTTTTTTTTGGTTTGGTGGGGTGGGTGGGGGGGGGGGGGATGGGGGGAGATCCTGTTTAATCCATACACTTAAGGGAGATTTTTCTGACATTTCCCTTCTCACTAAATTATATGCTTGTATTTGCTTAATTACTTGTTATATATTTAACGTTCTTTTACACTTTTAGCACGAGATACCCTTGACCATTTTATGTTAATCAGAAATGAATTTTGTAAAGTTAGCAAAGAGTATGTGAAGAAATTTATGTTTTCTTTTTCCTTTCTTTCTTTTTATTTTTATTTATTTATTTATTCTTTTGCGAGACAATCTGAGCTTTGAGTTTGGTTAACATTTTGTTCAAATATTAAATCAATTCATGAGAAAGAAGCTACTTGATCAGATCACAGGGGCACACCCCCAACCACAACTCCAACCATACACACTATCTCTCTTTGCTACAGTGCACCGGGCCCCACATGAGATTTTAAAATTTTAAATTCTCATGTGGGGCCCGGTGCACTGTAGCAAAAAAGAGCGTTTGTGTGATTGGAGTTATGGTTGGAGGTGTGCCCCTAGTGCCACTCTAGTTTTCAGAACTCTTGAAAGGGGAAACAAAGAAGAAGAGCAATATCATCTCTCCTTGCAACAGACCATACCATCCCATCTCGCAACAGACCAAGGCATGTCAAAATATTTCTCCCCGCAACGCTTACAAAAAGAAAAGAAAAAGAAAAAGAAAAGGAAGGAAAAGAAAAGAAGGATTAAGACACACAAGAACTGCATGTTATCCATTGATATGAACATATCAGAATCTTAGACAAATGAGAAAATTCAAATAAATTTCCCATTGAAACTCACACTACGAATCCCCTGCAGAGATACCAAACAACACGTCAGATGAAGACATCGACGGCATTGACTGAAAAGTTGAATAATCTACCGACAAATTAAACTGGTCCTCGGCAAATGATATCAACTTACAATCTGAAGTCCAATTCAAAGCCCCATCTTCAATCAAATTGCTTGAATTACTACTACCAATGCTTGAGCTATCCTCATAATATCCCCACTTCTCAGGCACAGTGCATTGTAGCAATTGATCATAAATTGTGTCAATGCTAATATCCACTTTGAATTCTGTCACAGGTGACGAATCAAAAAACGATTTCATACTGAAATTTGCACATGAACTCTTCTCTTCCTGCTGTTGTTCCGCATCACTTATCGGTTTGTGGGTTAGCAGGTCGACACCCATCTTTCGAAGTTTCTTCTTCAGGGTCGAGTTCCAGTAGTTCTTGATCTCGTTATCTGTTCTTCCTGGCAATTGTGACGCAATTTGCGACCACCTACATCTCAAATTTCATACACACATATAAGATCATATAGATTATAACTTTTTTGTATTCCTAATATAATTTTAGCTACCTGTTTCCTAGAATTCCTTGAAGTCCAATGATCAAATCTTCTTCCTGCGTTGAAAAGTTGCCCCTCTTGAGGTCTGGCCTCAAGTAATTCATCCACCTAAGCCTGCAGCTCTTCCCCCATCTCTTCAACCCTGCACTCAAATAATTGTACGTATAGACATAAGTAAAGGACGCTCAATCTGCAACGACATGTTAGGATGTAAAATTATAAATTTATCTTGCCTGCTTGCTTTGGGACATTGCTCCAGCATCCGATACCGAACCTCATAATGTGGTTGAAAAGCTTCTCGTCTTCCTCCGGAGACCATAGCCCTTTCCTCAGTTTCTCCTTCTGAGTAGTCATATTGCTTGGATTTCTGCCCATTTTTGGTTGAATGGCTTGAGTTTCAGAGGCTGAACTTTGAGGCCTTGTCTAATGATTCACAATAGAATGCAGTTTTATAGTGGTTGCATGGGGAAATGAATTAATTGGCTTTTAAGATACCTAGACTAAGCAAATAAATAAATAAATAGTTGTAAGAAAATAATTATAAAGGTGGTTATGAGAGTTGGTGGACGGTAGGAGAGATTTGAGAAAAAAGATTGCGATGTTGAAGGAAATGACACAAGGAGTCAATCCTCAGATTCTTGTTGTCTCATAATAATTTGTTTATGCTTAATAATTAAGATAGAGATGGACCCTTATCATAAGGAAGTTAATTCCTAGTTCATTATTTAAACTTTAATTGTGTGAATTGGTTTTGCTGGAGTATTGTTATGCAAGGGACATGTTTTAAATAATCTTGGTGAGGGTATGAATCTAAATCTTATGAAATCATTTTCAACAATAGTATAACTATAAGAAATATCCTTGATAAGGGAGCAAGTAAAACAATGTGTTTCACATGGCCGGCCTCCTTTAATATGGAAAAATTCATTCATCTTTTATTGTTTTTCATCAATAAAATTTTTTAGCACATACGATAACGTTTTTAAACCTAATGTTGTGCACAACGAAACTCTAATCATATGAACAAGAATGAGGTAGATCACAACTAAACACAATCACAAATCACAACCACGGCAAGACAACGAATTTACGTGGTTCGGCAAGTTGCATACGTCGACGGGGCAAGGAGGAGGGGGAGTAAGACAACGAATTTACGTGGTTCGACAAGTTGCATACGTCGACGGGGCAAGGAGGGGGGGAGGGTTCTTACTATTAGAGATGAAGAGAATACAAAATAGGGTTACAAAATCACTCAAAACCCTAAAACAAAGCTCTCTAAATCTCTCATCAATCTCCCACAATTGGATACAACAATCCTTTCTCAAAGACTGCTCAAAACGTCCTTGCTTAACCCTAATTAATCATATTTAGGGTAATATACAAACAACAAACAAAACGGATCAAAAATCCAAAGCCCAGCTCAGACCCGAGTCGCGGTCGATCACCGCGGTCGTCGCGGTCGATCACTGCGGTCGTCGCGGTCGATCGCAATGCAACGACAGAAACCAAAAATCCTACAGGGTTTGGACAGTCGACCGCGCGCGACGCCACAGTCGACCTCCAAAAGTCCAGAGACCTCCCAGGTCTCGTGCACATTTCTGGTTGACCGCAACTGATCTCGCGGTCGACTGCGAAGCTTCCTGATAGTTTTTCTATCATTTTTCCCGAGCTTTCTTCAACTGTTCGCCAATTCTTCAAATCTCCACATCGGTGAAGTTTCTTTCAAAACTGAGCCGACACCAAATCATCCAAATGTCCCACTTATTACGTCCAGGACGAAGTGAAAACAACTCACGACAATGGACTCAATCCACAACAAGTCGGGAACCCAAAAGACAGCTCAAACAATCTCCCCCATCGAAATTAACTAATCCAACCGGCTGCATCGAAAAGACTGCTTACGTATCCTCTTGTCCAAGGAATCAAGCCGAATGTAGTTCACCCAAATGGCCTCCAAACACCCTCAACATTGAAGAATGTTCAATAGCTTTAAACAATGACCAAATTTTACACCTGAAACAACTTTGGTCAACATATCTGCATGGTTGTCCTTCGTGTGGATCTTCTCTAATATGACGTCTCCATCATCCAAAATGTCATGAATAAATAGAATTTGACATCAATATGCTTCCTGCGTACATGATAAATCTAGTTTTTCGCCAAATAGATAGCCGACATGCTATCATAATATACCCGAAGGGTCTCCTGTGCAATCCCCAAGTCCTCCAACAATCCATGCAATCATAAAGCCTCCTTAACAGCTTTAGTCAACATCATATACTCCACCTTTGTAGTAGAGAGAGTAACAGTAAACTGAAGTGTACATCTCTAACATACTGGTGTTCCTGCCAATGTAAACACATAACCTGAAGTAGACCGACGTATGTCAAGATCTCCCGTATAATCTGAATCTACGTAGCCAATACAATCCTACTCATTCTTCTTATCTTTCTAAAAAATCAAACCAACATCCACGGTGCCTTTAACATACCGTATAATCCACTTCACGGCCTCCCAATGACTCTTCTCGAGGTCGTGCATGTACCTCGATACCATGCTCACTGTCTGTGAAAAATCTAGCATCGTATACACCATCGCATATATCAAGCTACCCACCGCACTGGCATATGGAACCTTCGACATGTAATCTCTGTCCTCAACTGAAACAAGTGATATATTTGCTGAAAGCTTGAAGTAGGAGCCAACGGAGTGCTAACTACTTTTGCATTACCATCAAAGTTGAATTTCTTCAATATTTTTTCTGCAAGTAACTCCTCTGTGTAAGCTTTAATCTCCCATTCACCCTGTCTCTCTCGATCTCCATACCTAATATCTTCTTAGCTTCTCCAAGATCCTTCATCTCAAACTCGGATGACAATTCCTCTTTTAACTTTCGAATAGCCGAAGAATTCCTGGAAGCAATAAGCATATCATCAACATATAATAGCAAATATATGTATTGACCATCTTGTAGCTTGTACATGTAAACACATAGGTCATATGGGTCATATCGAATCTCTTATACCACTGTCGATACGATTGCTTTAAATCTTAAAGAGACTTTTTCAGCTTGCACACTAAATCTTCCTTTCCTGCAGCGTTGAATCCCAAGAGTTATGTCATGTAGATCTCCTCATCTAAATCTCTATATAGAAAGACTATCTTAACATCCATCTGGACCAAATAAAAACAAGATGTGCCACCAATGCTAATAAAATCTAAATCGATGAATACTTCACAACAGGTGAAAATACCTCATTGTAATCAACGCCCTTAAGCTGTGTATATCTCTTAGCAACCAATCTGGCTTTGAATCGAATGTCCCTAATAGAAGATCCCTCCTTCTTCGTATATACCCACTTGCAACCAATAGCTTTCTTACCCTTAGGTAGCTTTGTAAGTTCCCAAGTGTCGTTCTTCTGAAGAGAACGCATCTCCTCTTCCATAGCTTCCCTCCAACATTATTATATCTAGATAGCCTACAAATCACCCTTCTGGGTCTATTTGCTACAATGGACTCCTGAACATGACCCTACTCCTGAGACTCACCATCCACTATATTCTTTATATGCCCGGCTGACATCCTATCTCCTTCCAGTGTCATCTCTGTAGGAGTCTTAATGGATACAATGCTATCTGGAGTGGGTGGAGTCACATCATCCTCCACCTGCTATGATATCTCTCGAATCTGGTCTTCCTCCACCTGCTGAGGAACTTGAGGCCTCATCATATACGCCTCATCAAATGTGACATATCTGCTAATGACTATCTTCTTGTCATGTGGATCTCATAACTTGAAGCCTTTGACACCATTTCTAAATCCCACAAAGACTGCTTTCCTCACCCTCGGATTTCATTTACCATCATTGATATGATAATAAGCAGGACACCCAAATATCTGAAGCGACTCATAGTCACTAGCCAGCGAACCAAATCAACGCTCCATAGGAGCCTTCCCCTGTATCATGGTACACGGTAACCTGTTCATGAGATGACTCACATAAACCAATACCTCGGCCTAAAAGGATCTAAGCAATCCACTCTGTGTCATCATGCATCACACCTTCTCTAACAATGTATGGTTCAATTTCTCAGCCACCCGTTCTGTTGCGGTGTCTCTCGAACTACGAAGTATCTCCTAATACCGTGATCCCAACAAAACTATAAAAATGGATCACTCTGATACTCTCCACCGTTATATGAACGAAGAGTCTTCATCTTTCTACATGTCTCTAGCTCTATTTTCTTCTTCCACTCTATAAAAATATCCAGGACCTCATGTTTATACTTTATAGGGTATACCCAATTCCTCCTGAAATAGTCATCAATGAAAGTGACAAAATAGTTAGTCCCACCAAGTGATGTGTTCTTGGAAGGGCCCCAAATATCTGTGTGATATCTCCTAATACCGTGATCCCAACAAAACTATAAAAATGGATCACTCTGATACTCTCCACCGTTATATGAACGAAGAGTCTTCATCTTTCTACATGTCTGTAGCTCTATTTTCTTCTTCCACTCCATAAAAATATCCAGGACCTCGTGTTTATACTTCATAGGGTATACCCAATTCCTCCTGAAATAGTTATTAATGAAAGTGACAAAATAGTTAGTCCCACCAAGTGATGTGTTCTTGGAAGGGCCCCAAATATCTGTGTGATATCTCCTAATACCGTGATCCCAACAAAACTATAAAAATGGATCACTCTGATACTCTCCACCATTATATGAACCAAGAGTCTTCATCTTTCTACATGTCTGTAGCTCTATTTTCTTCTTCCACTTCATAAAAATATCCAGGACCTCATGTTTATACTTCATAGGGTATACCCAATTCCTTCTAAAATAGTCATCAATGAAAGTGATAAAATAGTTAGTCCCACCAAGTTATGTGTTCTTGGAAGGGCCCCAAATATCTGTGTGAATGTAATCCAATATACATTGGGTATTGTGAATAGCGGTGCCGAACTCCACTGTAGTCTTCTTCCCAAGTACACAATGCTCACACAACTCCATCTTACAGGTCTTAGTACCTTTCAATAGCCCTTGTTTTGCCAATGGTTGTAGGAACTTATCACCCGTGTGTCCAAGTCTCATGTACCATAAGGTGGTAGTGTTCTTCTTTGTAGTGATAGAAGTTATCAGACCCCATGTAACTGTCCTACCCTTCAAGTAGTATAGGAAGTTTTCCCTAACTCCTTGCATCACCACCATTAAACCCTTCGTGACCCTCATCGTTGCATACTCTAAGTTCATCCGATAACATGTTGCCTCCAAAGTACCAAGAGAAATGATGTTCTTCGTCAACTACGGCACGAACCTCACTTATTTCAACTCCCTAACCACATCATCATACATCTTGATTCGGACTGAACTAATACTACCAATAGGGTATGCGTGATCATTAC